GCAAAATTCCAAGATTACAAAACAAACAACTGACAACAATCGACAAAACAAAAACACTACACAGTCACTGTAGCCACACCAGTAAAAAAAAGATACTGTGGAACTCGTTGCAAATGTAAATACAAAATAAATGTCAGTGAATACAATATTTAATAATTTGCAGCCTCCATGGACAAGTTCATAGCCTCTAATATTGCAAAACCGTTAGTTGTAAACTGAACTGAACTTTAAATCTCATCAGGATATCCACATGAAGTTACACAGATAGAAAAAAAAATGCAATATTAAGACAAGAAAATTATGCTATTTTTGTCAAGGCTATATACTAAATTCCCTTATTTTGGGTGTATTTTTGTGAGTGTACATGTATCCATAAAATTATCAAAACTTAAAATGTAATCATAGTACAAATGTAAAGTAAACAAAATTATCGAGTGATTTTGGATTTGTTGGAAAAGTACTTGAAATGCTGTGACATGTGCTACGTTCACACGACAGCATTTTATCGGAGCCCAAAGGCTCGAGCCAGCAAAAATGGCCGTGTGAACACGTTCGGCTCGAGCCAAGTTCGGCTCCACTAAACCCTCGGGGTTGAACTCTGATAGGGTTGAGTCCCGGCATGGCTCCGAACGTGTAAACGCATCGGGCCCAACTATCGGAGCCGAAATCACGCCCTTAATTGTCTTCTTCGAGTAACCTCTCATTTCACATCTTCATAATTTCACGCAATTTCCCGCTTGAATAAGAGGTACGGCCTAGTGTATAGTAAGGAATCATTGCGATAGATTGATAGCTCAATGGGAAACAAAAAATGGCGTACGAAATTATGCAACAAAAACTTGAAAGAACGATTGAACGGAAACTTTTTAAAGACACTAAAGATAAAAATCGTAGAAGCGAACGCGGTACGGTGACGTATTCCTGGTAGGTTTAGATTCTTCCATAGTCCGTCTATGATAGATATAGAGAATCTGTGATTCTTCCTAGGAGTTTTAATACATATCACCACAGTTGAATAGTTACAAAATGGTAATTTTGCATGACAATAACTTGAGCGAATAGGCTTTATTGAACGTATTTTAGCTGCCGTGTTTCCTGTTTATTCGAGATACTAGTACCAAATTTAAAATACCTGTCATTGTCATGGTCAGGCTCCTTTTTCTCCTAGCTCAACAGCATCATGCCATGTAAAGAAAAAAACACAAGCATGACACTAAAATCGTTTTCAGTCAGTAATTATTCAAGGGCACTGTTCCGCTCGGCTCTGATCGAACTGAATCTAACTCTGGCAGATCTCGGCTCTCGTTCGATCGGCTCCCGACCCTATGAATGCATTGTAGATAATCTCCTGTTAATCCGTGGGAGGACCAGTAGTTCGGCTCCGATAGAATGCTGCCGTGTGAACATAGCAATGGTCTACTAGCTATTGGTGGTAGGAATTACCAAGCCAGTTTATAAAACCAGCCGGTAGGCTGGTTGGCATCCACTCCACTCAAAAACAAGTATCATGTTTTCGGCTGTTGCCATGGTAGGACATGAACGTGCAGCTAACGTCGGTTTATAACTAAAACCGGGCCTCGTATACAAGGTTCGCAAAAAAACGTTCAGTCCTTAGAAGTCACTTTATTTTATTGCTAGGACGTATTCTGCTGTTAAATTTATTATTTCCAACCGTTTTGCGATAGTATTTTCTAGATTGAAACATGGAGGCAAAAAGCTCCATGATTGAAGGCAGCATTTACAGTTCATTCGTAGTTCAAAGTTGCGTTGGGATTACATTGATAGAGTGTTGGTGCCGGTGATCTCTTACCAGTGCGCAGCGTAGCCAAAATCAAAAAACAAAAAAATGATCATATAAACACTGCTATTTATAATAATATAAAGACTGGTAGGAGGTAATAAATTTGGGGCGAAAGTATTCAAAAATCAGTTTTTGGCTGTTGCTATGGCAGCGGTGAGCGAGAATTTGTTTTCAGATTTTACAACCTAACTAGAGTGAAGGTGTGACTTGCCCGCCAAGTTTGAACCAAACGGCCCAGCCAAAAAAATCACAGAAGAGTCAAATATGTCGGTAATGAAAACAAATAGTAACTTAGTGCCCGCACTCAAGCTGAGTAGAATGAGCTATGTCTGAAGAGTTTTATCCTAAATTTGTAGGAGGAAATTCATTTAGCACGAAGCTATCCAGTTTTTTGGCTGTTACTATGGCAACGATAGGCCAATTTTTTTCTTCAGATTTTACCTAATAACTAGGGTGATGGTGTGACCTTCCTGTCAAGTTTGAGGGAAATAGGCCAAGCCAAAACAATCACAGAAGAATTAATACGTGAAAACACCGGAAACCACACACTCAGAAACACAAAATTGATTTTAAGGGCAATCCTAGCAGAACGGATCGCCAATAGTGAACAAAAATGTTCGTAAATATTACTGACCGCAAAAGACGCTCATCGCGAAGTGTCTTGTATATATAATTATATATATTATATATATTATAAAAAGTGATATCTGTGCAGTAACTTTGTTGGGGTAATAAAAGTACTCATATTCCCAATGAGGATTCACAGTCGTGAATGGTGAGTGTCACAAGGCGGAGTCAAGTGTGGCTACCAAACAAGACTTCCCTTGTGTTGTGGATTCTTTTCCCCACTGCTACTTTTTAGCATTAATTGTGACTTGTATATTTGTATACAACCAACAAGCAATAACTGGTGACCCTGGTGTAGTCAGTGTGAACACACAACAGACGCAATCATATACTAGCAATTAACAGTTTATTAAGTATAACGGGAACAGATTAAGGGTCAATATTAATTAAGTCACAAGGCCCAAATCCCAGTAGGAATACAAGTCGACTAGAACCCTGTGCATGCTAACCAATTCTCAACGAGTTAGAGATCGTACAGTAACATGAAGCTTACATCCAAGTGTAAACAATGTACGAGTTAATCGTTTAAACCGACTTCGTTCCAATCATTAAATATTGCAAAATTTCCAGCATCTAACCAACCTAATTGGGCAAAACACGTCAATAGAATGACGGCAAAGTAGTACAAAATTACAGCAGTTATATAACAATTTGATGAACTAAATAAATGAAGTGCACTCAAAAATATACACAACGATAAGCTCAAAATATGTATGAAATATGTAACCCTAGCGTAGTGTTACTGACCAGTATCATACGACGAATGTCAATGTCTTGTAAGCAGAACTTGCAGTTGAACGTGATTAATTAATTAAACATGTTCGACGAAGTCCTATGGTCGTTTCAACCACGTGTTGATGTTATCTATGCCAAGACGACCTGCTGGCTTCCTCAGGGATACACAGACAGTAAGTTATGTTTGATGTGTTGTCTCAATCTTTGCCGCTTTGCAGCCAGCAATGGTTAAAGTCAGTTCACCATAATGTCAGTTCTACGGGAAGTCCGTTGAGACTTGTAACTTCTCTGCATTAGTTGTGTACGAGCTTCAGCAACGATGTCCAACGTGGTTACACCAGATGGAATAGCCCCCAGCATGCGATGAAGGCATAGTTTTATAGGTGTTCAGGTGCACATACCGGTACTCTGTATTCAAATTTCCCGACAAAACGATCTGTTCTCTGGATCATACCATTCCAACAAGGGGTGTATGACCCATCATTTAAATAGACACTTGAATTACACAAGTATAATGTGTATCTAGGCATCCGTACAGCATGTAGTCACCTCTTGACAGTGAGCACAATTTTACCCACCATTTTCAACAAAAAATTCTGAACTGAAATGGTCATCTGACCACAGTTTAGAACAAGGATTCTTAACTGAAATGGTGAACAACTTTGAACAACGTTTGAGTCGCCATATTTTGGTTCACTGTGTACCCGATTGAGTTGTGTGCTAGCTACATGTATATCTATCTACACCACAGTAATCTTATGAAAACAGTGACACACTCCTCAAAACAATACCAGGAGATCTGCTATCTCATACTTTTTTTGTTCATACTTAAATTTTTCAGATACGTCTGACTGCTGGTGCCACCTTAAATGTAGATGATTTATTAGATAACGAAGTGTCTGCATTACAAAAAAATACTACAGATGAAGATATTGAACAACATCCCAGAATTCAAGAAATGAATGAGAAACTATGGCAAATAAAACATCCAGGTAATTTTGTCTTTTATGTCTTCAATGTGGTTTAACTGTGCACCCTTAGATTGTTTCCATGGTTACCAAGATGTCATGTTCTGCTTCTTTGTCAATAAAGCATATATATTTCCCATATTTTTTTAACATGTCATGGTAAAAGGACAATGGGGAACCCAATCATCCTTTTTTCTCTCTCTTTGTAAGATAAGTTACTAAAGTATGTCAGTCCTCAGGGAGGGAAGGAGTGGCACTCAAATTGGAGCTCAACATTTTTAAACCTTGTATACCCCTGAGATTCATCAGTGGGTTCACCAAAAAGATTCACAAAGGAAATTAAGATATACTCTGTAGAGATTGAAATATAACCCCTTTTTTTACATTTAAATTATCTTTTTAGAAAAGCACCAGATATTTTTCCTGCTCAAAAATGCAGTGTAAATATTTTCATATTTTATAAAATTATCACTAAATTATCACATCATTGTTTTGCACCATTCAGATATTGTATTTACTTTTTGATTAAAAGGTTCATCAATATTTCATGTTGAGTGAAGCAGACTGTATAAAATCATTTGTACATGGTGCCAAAAATCAAAGGGTTATTAATCCTAAACACCATGTGCATACTTTTTTTTTTAGACAAGATTTTTTGTGTTGCAGCATACATACCAAGTTCAAATTCAAGTAACCTTCTCTAAAAATAACTATAGGTGGCGCTTCAAGCTGCTATGATCAGATAAGATACTCGTAGGTCCACATACGCGACACTACGAGGGCGCCATGCCATTATTATAGATGTATATTTTTTGACTCCCGTGTGCGAAACACAAAAGGGAGTCTTTGCAGTTACTATGTATGTATGTATGTAATAATAATCATCTTTATTGTTATCGTATCCTCTATGGGACTTTGATTGAAGAATACAATAAAGGTATGGCAATGAAAAAAAAATTAAATGAAAGTAAATCTATGTACTTAGCAATTTGAGGAGCTAATATTTTACTACCATTGTTTAGTATTGCAACTATTTTTTCTTTGTCAGGAAGTTTTGGAGGTAGCATCAAATTTTTGAGAAGCTCATTTCTTTCTTTTTTATAGAGACCGCATTTAAGAAGGAAGTGCTCTTCATTTTCTATTTCGTTTAATTGACAAAACTGACATTTTCTTTTTGAAATGTCAATGTTTTTATGTCTTCCAGTTTCTATTCCTAACACATGAGCACTAATTCTTAGTTTGGTCATGGATGACCTGTGGAAGGGATTTTACACAGTTTCTAAATATTTTTCAAAAGTGAATTTTGTTTTTAGATGTCTGTATGTGCGGAGTTTATTCTGATGTTTTGTTCCCTTATTATCATCATACATTGAAACTAAACAGTATGTTTGAAAGTTGGCTGCAAGCTTTTCAGAGACTGATTTAGGCAGCTTTTCATCCTTGTAATGGTTTTCTTCCCAAATGTGACTCATGTTTAACGTAACCAGTTGGTTTTCATGGCGGCACCTTTTACAACTGTAATTTGTTTTCCCTCATGCATGTCGTCTTTTATTTTCAATGTATTTAGCAATATATCGATGTAATGACAGCACCAAGGCTCGCTGCCTTTTTCTTTCCGGTCTCCTCGTGTTTCGAGCCGACCGTGCAGTGGTTATATTCAGAATTTACCAGCATAGAACCCGCATCCGAGATACTTTGTTGTGGCTACGTGCGGGTTTCGGGGTTTTTGCGTGAAAGCGTGTTTTTTTCACTGGAGTTCTGAGGCCTGAGATTTTCTTTCAGAGCCATCAAAATCGCTGACACTGACCACGTCACAGCAAGGTCGCGCGTCCAGTAAACAAATCGGTTAAAGTGAGTTGCGTGTTTTGCATGAGTGGAAAGTCCTCACACTCGGCTACCGGTACTTAATGTATCGGGACGTCGAGTAAGAGGCCCGACGGCGGAGGTACCAATATTTTTCTCGGTCTCCCCCGCTGATAGGAGGGCATTCTCACAGTCTGTTTTTTCAGGCGGTGTTTTACCCGATTTTACCGGCTGCAGCGAGGCTGTGCCCCTGAAGGCTTTCCTCCTATGGGGCCCGTTGCGGGTCTCTTTGTGGACCCTTCCTTGCACGGCGCGGAGTTTGCCTCCGAGTTGAGGGCTTTGGTCGAAGGACTGTTGGGGCAATTGCATCCCTGGCAGGCCGGGTAGATCAGACGCAGTCTGAGCGAGCTGTCTCCACTGTGTCCCCTTGGTGGGCAAGCAGGAAGAGACACGAAAGCATGTTTGCATTCAAACACGTCTCTTCCAGGGAACCCCCATTCCCAGGCATGGCTCTCCCACTATTTTGGGGGGTGGCCGAGGCTCAGGCTAATTGCACCGGTCTTTCTCTGGATTCTCGGGCACTGAATGCCAACGGGGTGCTGGCAGCCAAGTCTCCAATCTCGGGGCAGGGCTTTCAGGGCAGGGCACTCGTTGACCCCCCCTACTTTCAGCCAGCTAGGGTTCGTCACGCGGTAACGGTACAACGGTAGCGAATTTTTCCTTGTGTCCGGTCCCCACTGTGGGTTTTGGACTCCTTTCTTACCGACCCACGGGCGTCCCCAGAGGGAACCGACCCTGTCATGAGACGCACAGTCGAACACGCTCCCTCTCACATATTTAAAGTGAAAAGAGATGCAGTTCGCTCGCGTCGGATACAGCCGGTACTCCGGGCGGTCCCTCAGAGTCTTCCATCTGTATGACTCGCTTTTGGGGTGAGGCGGAGTATCATCGATCCCAGTGATACGATGTATATACCCCCACCCTTGATCCTAAAGTGACCACCTAAGCTTGCTTCAACGCTTATGGGATCACGGGCATCGGGATCCAAAGCAACCCCGTCGGCAAGTCTCTCCCTGTCCGCCTGAGTGCGGAGTGTGGTGGAGAGCACGCAAATGGTGTTGATGGGCGGCGTTGGTCACCCGCGGAAGATGTAATGCTTAAGGCCCCGGGTGGGGATAACATTAGGCAACACTTCCCACTGGACCAAATGCTACCCTGTCGGTGTGGTTTCGGGATCAGACCCCATAGCGTGGGATGAGACCAAAACGCCCCCAACCGGATTCCAAGGCTCCTTCCCCAGACCACGAATTTGGCAAACCGGGCAAAGGGGGATAGCCGCGTTCCATGGGTGTCTTGCCAATTGAAGACGACCCATCCAGCCCTGAGGGCAGAGTTGCTTGAGCACATTATTATGCGTGACCAGCACTCTGGAGACCTTGGAGGCAGAACGCACCAGCCTCCTAGACCAGGCGACATTTGTACTGGTGGGCCACCGCACGTGTACATGAGACACCCCTTAGTGTCGCCTGGCTCTCTTGGCCAGGGCCACTACCGTGCTACGAGACGCGGCCTTAGACACACGTGTTTTTGCCGACAAGCTGAGCTGGGGTACGTCCCCTCCTCAGTGACGCAGACTGGACATCCTCCACCCTCTTTGTTCAGGGAATGGTGGGTACAGTCTCGGAGCTTCAGAGTGCAATGAACCAGAAGGTTCAGATTGAATCCGCTAGCCAGTTGGTCTTGCTATGGGCAAACTGAGGGCACCCCAAGCACAGAAAACACAATGCCCTAGGGCGTCGTCCGCTAGCCGGAGTCAGCCAGGAGGCAAGCGCTTATACCCTTCCATGGGAGGGGTGGGTAGTGGCGCACCCCCAGGGAGGTAAGAGCCAGGTGGTGGCTCCTCACCCTCCCTGGGCAGACGTCTACCCGGCAGCAGGGGAGGCATGTTTGATGCTCACCTCTGCAA